TCGCCGAGGGGGCGGCCCTGGTGGGGTTCGCGCTGGCCCGGCTGCGGGGGGCGCCGGGGGGGCCGCTCTGCTGGCCCGGGTGGGCGCTGCTCGGAGCGTGGCCCGCGCTCAGTGTCACCGCCGTGCTGCTGCAGTGGAAGGTGACGGCTGGAGGGGCACCAAGGGGACACGGTGAGGGACCCCCGGGGGAGGGAGGCGACAAGGGAAGGGTGGGACTGGAAGGAGAGGGGGCTGTGGGTGCGGGTGGGGATGAAAGTGAGGATGGGGAGGGTGAGGTGGCAATGGGGACAGGGAGGAGGGAAAGGGTGGGACTGGAAAAGGACTGGGATGAGGCTCTGAATGCTGCTGGTGGTGGGAAGGATGAAGGTGAGGGTAAGGAGGGTGGGGATGGGGTGGTAAATAGGGGTGTCTCTGGGTCGGGGGAGGGTGTCCCAGGTCGGGGGTGTCCTCGGGTCAGGATGTGTCCCGGGGTCAGGGGCTCAGGCCTCGCCCCCTCCCCACAGTCCTCAGCCAGCGGCAGAAGCGGCTCCGGCACAAGGAGCCCAAACCTCCCCCCGAGGGTCCTCCCGGCCCCCAGGCCCCTCCGACCCATCGCTGCATGGACACCCCGAGCCCCAGGGACCCTCGAGACCCCCCGAGCACCGCTCAGAGCCTGCGGGACCGGCAGCCGGACAGCGTGGCCCCAACGGGACCCCCCAAGGCCACCCCCCTGCCCCAACAACGCCTCTGAGCCCCCCCCGATGTGCCTTGGAGACCCCCCCAACTGCGGTGCCTGCATCTTTAAATAGGCAAATGAAGTGCCTCGTGCCCCGCCCACCGGGGGCGTGACCTGTGGAGCTGGGCACGTGGGTAGGCGGGACACCCGAGGGCTGCGAGGGGAGGAGGGGGAGAGCCCTGTGCACCCATCCCACCCCTCCAGCCCCCGGGGACACCCTTGAAAAGAAGGGCCCACATTTATTTTTGTAGGACCTACCCAAATACTTTGAACCGTGGGCTCAGCCCCCTCCCCTTCTGTTGGAGGGAAGGAGAGGGATCCTAAAAGCCTTAACCTCCACCCTGGGTGGGGGTCTCACCCCGCCCTGGGACCCCCCATCCTTGCCTGACTCCTAAAGGACCACATGGCCCCCACCCTGGGGATGGTCCAGCCACCCCTCAAGGCCCCCTCAGACCCTCTCAGCGGGACCAGGCCCGACCCCCCCACGCTGGGTCAGTGCTGCAGTTTTTATTCTTCCACAATTTTTAAAAATAAAGGAAAAAAAGAGAGAAAAAGAGAAATAAACGCGGGGGGAAGGGGCTGTGACACAGAATGGGGGGGTGGGAAGAGCGGGGGGGCACGAGGTGGGGGGCACGGCCACCTCCCACATAAACCCACATCGATCCAATTAAAAACCAGGAGCTGCCGGGCCCTCGCCGGGAACAACCATCCTGCCCTCCCCCCTCCCCAACCCCCCCCAAACCGCCCCTGAGACCCCCCAACCCCCCCTACGAGTCCGACTCGAGCCCCCTGAGTTCGTCCTCCAGCGCTTTCCTCCGGCCCAGCTTCTCCAGCTGCTCCTGGGTGGGCTGGGGGAGCCCCCCGGCCTCGAGGCGCCGCCGCAGCTCCTCCACCTGCCGCAGCTTCTTCCGCAGGCTCTTGATGCGGCGGCTGCGCTCGGAATTCCCGGCACTGTCGCCCCCCTGGGCCGGGGGGGCCCCTCCTGTCCCCGAGAGCGACACCTTTTCCAGTGCCGAGCTCAGTCCGTCCGTGTCCTGCGGCTGCTCCGGGGCCTTTTCCTGCTGCTGCCGCCGCTTCTCCTTGCGCTTGAGGTTCCTGCGCGCGGCCTTGGACAGCCCCTGCTCGGGGGGAGCGCCCTGGGGGGGCCCCGGGGGCCGCGCCGGGGCCGTGTCCGGGCTCAGCCCCGGGGGCAGCTCCGGTTTGCTCCGGAAAAACTTCACGTATTTGTTCTCGTACCTGCGTGGGGAGGGACGGGCTGAGGGGGGGCCAGGGGGGATCCACGAGGGGCTGTGAGGATCCAGAGGGAATCCCTGTGGGAATATTCCCGGAGGAGGACAGGAGGGGTCTGTGAGGGATCCCGGGGGCATTATGAGGGTCTGTGAGGGTCCATGAGGGAGCGGTGAGGGATCCAGGAGGGGCTGTCGAGGAACACGAGGGGGCTGTGGGAATCCAGGAGGGGCCCAGAAGGGATCTGTGAGGGTCCAGGAGGAATCTGTGAGGGTCCAGGAGGAATCTGTGAGGGATCCCTGGGGGAATCTTGAGGGACCTATGAGGGTCCATAAGGGATCTGTGAGGAATCTGTGAGGGGCTGTGGGGCTCCAAGAGGGTCTGTGAGAGGATGGGGGGGATCCAGGAGGGGTGCAGGAGGATCTGGGAGGGTCCATGAGGATCTGGGTGGCATTTGCAGCCCCTGGGTTGGGACTCACCCACACGGGGGCACAAACTCAGCCCTGGGAGGGGGGACACAGCCCCAAGATTCCTCCCCCTCCCCACCCCAGCCCAGGGACCTCCTGACTCACACGGGCACCTCCTCCTGGGGGACGTATCCCTCCTTCACCCGCCGCTGCTTCCGCCACGTCCCGTCCGGCCGCTGCGTGGAGGGGATGTACCTCCCTGGGGGGCACAGGGGGGCATGGGGGCACCTCGAGCCAGGGGGGCTCCAGGACACCCCCGCGGATCCCGGGGGGGTCCAGGAACACCCATAGCAGCCTCAGGACACGCCCACAGGGATCCCAGGACACCTTCAGGGAGGTCCTGGGACCCTCCACAGACCCCAGGAGAGTCCCAGGAGACCCAACAGAGGCTTTGGGACACTCCCACACAGACCCCAGAGGAGGCTGGGACACCCCCAAGGGGCTCTGGGACACCACACCGAACCGAGGGGAGCCCCAGGACAACCTCCAGCTCCCTGGACACCCCCCGGACCCCAAGGGGACCCCAGAGACCCCCGGCCCCCCCTCCATGGGCTACAGGACCCCCACCCAGAGGCCCTGGGAAATACTCACAGCGGCTATGGGACCCCCTCACGGACCCCACAGGATCCCCAGAACCGTCCACCGCAGCCCCCTGTCCCCCCTACATACCCCCAAGACCCCCCTCGCAGGCCCCGCGCCCCCCATGGGCCTCCCTCAGCGCCGGGACCCCCGTGGGGGTCGGGGGTGGGCGCAGCCCCGGCGCTGGCAGGGGTGGGCGAGCGGGGCCGTACCCGGGGCGGCTCCGGGGGATCCCGGAGCCCCTCCGCCCCCGCGGCCCCCCCGCGCTCACCGGTCTCGTCCGTCACATAGGGCGTCGCCATCTTTGCGCGCGCGGCTCGGCCCCGCCCCGGAAGTGACGCCGGGGGAGCCTGCCGAAGCTAAGGGGGCGTGGTCATCGAGAGGGGGCGTCTCCAATGGCCACAGAGGGAGACCCAGAGGGGCGTGGTCTGTGCCGGGGGCGTGGCCACATTGAGGGGCGCGGCTCCCGTGGGGTTCAATGAGGGGGCGTGGTCGCCGTGGGGGTGTGGTCTTTGCCAGACGAGGCGCGGTTTAAAGGGGCGTGGGCTCAGAGACGCCATGTTGCTTTTAAAGGGGCCGCGTCCGTCCCGGTGCCCCCCCTCGGGAGCGGAGACACCCCCCACACCACCCACCCCCCGGGTCGGGGAAACCCCCCGGGATGGAAGAGCCCGCCCCCCACACCCCCCCCGGGCACCCCCGGATTGGGGAACACCCCGAACACCACTGGGATGGAGAGACAACCCACCCTCCCCATGCCCAATTGGGAATTCCCGGGATGGAGAACCCCGGGATAGACCCTCCCCATCACCGGGCACCCCCCGGGATGGAGACGCACACATACATGAGAATTCCCAGGATTGGGACCTCTGTCACCCCAAGGCACCCCATCACCCCAGGGACCCCAGGGATGGATCCTCCCCCTCCTCGGGAATTCCTGGGATGGAGACCCCCAGGATTGAACCCCCCCCACCTGACAAGCCCAGGATGAAGACATGCGACCTCCCCTGGAATGCCCAGGATTGGGACCCCCGGGAAGAGACCCCCCCACACCACCCCTCCCCTGGGAATCCCCCCTGGATGGGCATTTCCCGGGATGGGCTCCCCCCATCCTCCACGGCCTCCCCCGGTTGGGACCCCCGGCCCTTCTTTGGGGGGTCCCCCGGGACGGCCCCGGCCACGGCGGCACGTGCGCGGTGTCCCCCCCCCACCGGTCCGTGACGTCACGGGCGGGGCCGGACCGGGAGATCCCGGACCAGGTACGGACCGAGCGGGGGAGCCCCGGGGGGTCGGACCGGGGTCCCGGGGGCGTTACCGGGCTGAGCCGGGGCGGTGCGGGGTCGTACTGGTCTGTACGGGGGCTGTTTCGGGCACTACCGGGATGGACCGGGGCGGTACCGGGCGGAACCGGCGAGTTACCAGGTGTAACGGGCTCTAACGGGCCGGACCGGGCGCTGATGGGATAGTATCGGGCTCTGCCGGCGGCCCTGGGGCAGTACCGAGTTGAACCGGTCCGTACCGGGGCTGTTCCGGGCACTACCGGGACTCTACCGGGCTCTACCCGCGTGGTACCGGCCACTACCGGGATGTCCCGGGGCCGTCCTGAGCACTACCGGGATGTCCCGGGGCCATCCTGAGCACTACCGGGATGTCCCGGGGCCGTCCCGGGTGCTATCGGGGCAGTACCGCGTTCTACCGGGCGGTACTGGGGGAGTCCCGGGACGTACCGGGCTGTAGCGGGGCCGTTCCGGGCGGTACCGGGCGGTGCCAAGGCCGTACCAGGCGGGACTGGGGACTCCCTGTCACCGGGAGACCCCCGGGGCTCCGTTCCCTGCCCTCTCCGGTGCCCCCGGGGGTTGGGCGGGTCCCGCTCCAGTCGGGCACTGCCCGCTGGGGGTCAAAGCTCAGCTGGGGCCGCACACGCGTGTTCAGGCGTGTTCAGGCGTGTTCAGGCGTGTTCGGGGGGTGCCCACATGTGTCAGGGCGGGGCCATGCACGGGCAGGGGCTGCACGGCCACCCCCAACGACCCCCCTTTTCCACCCACATCACAGACCCACGTGTGATCCCGTGTGGATCCCGTGTGGATCCCGTGCAGACCCCGTGTAGATCCTGTGCTGATCCTGTGTGGATCCTGTGCTGATCCCGTGTGGATCTCGTGTCTCAGCCATGGAGGAGACCCGGTCCTGGGCCCCCCTGAGCCCCGAGGACTTTGCGCAGCTGCAGAAGTACCTGGACTGTGAGTGGGGCCCTGCACACGCGTGTGCCGGGGGGACTCACACGTGTGGGAGGGGGGCTGCACACGTGTGGGGGCTCTGCACATGAGTGCACACCCCGGGGGCAGCTCCACACGCACACATGTGGCTCCAGACGTGTGTGTGTGTGTGTGTGTGTGTGTGTGTGTGTGTGTCCCACAGCAGCCTTGCACGTGTGTGTGGCCACTCTCGTGTGCCGCCACGTGTGTTGTTCCCGTGTGCAGACGTGTCAGGGCACACGTGTGTGCCAGGTGCAGATGTGTCGGGGCACACACGTGTGTGGTCTCTCCCACATCAGGACACGCGTGTGCCCAGCACACACATGTCAGCACACACATGTCAGAGCACACGCGTGTCCCTGCCCTCAGACAGCAGCCGGAGGGTGCAGGATGTGCTGCAGGATTTCGGCGGCGGGGGGACCCTGGCTCAGCCCCACCAGGGCAAGGTGAGACCTGGAGGACCCCCGTGGGGTGGGAGTGGGGTCAGGGGATCACCCCCCAGC